AGAGAGAGAGAGAGAGAGAGAGAGAGAGAGAGAGAGAGAGAGAGAGAGAGAGAGAGAGAGAGAGAGAGAGAGATCATACGTGGCGACGCCGTGAACTGCTTTGAGCAAGTGCATATTCGCGGCGTGTGGTTGGACAGGAACCAGGAAGCTTTCGGGGAAGAGATGACAAGGAGGACCACGCGAGTGTACTCCGTGGATGTGAACGGCCTGCCAGCTGTCAACCTCGATGTCGCTCTTSGTTACGCGGGGGACTTGCTGAGCCATGTCCTCATCTGGKTCACGAAGCCCACTTACGACAGACCGGACGRCTGGAGTATGCTGGAGCACGACATCGTCGGGGACATCGTCCTGAAGAGCCTGGAGTACCTGGCGCTGGAGCACACGGAGCGACTGGACATGGGGGCATTCTACCACACCTTCCTTGATTGGCCGCTCGTCGGCCGGGGGTATCTCCACGGCGAGATCAGGTTGTAGTCGGGAATCGTGGTGTGTTGATGGTGCTGTTCTTGTGTAGATGAGACGTAGGCAGTATGGGTATTCGGGGGTGATCGTTGATGGGATTCTCAGTTATGCGAACGGAACTGTGGGATCGGGTTATGTTGCCGCACGCGTCTTCTCACGGTATTTTTAGTTTTTTTTTTCCCCTTTTTTCTTGGTCGCGCTTGATTGGTTTTGTTTGTCACCCATTGATGGGACCATCGAGACGTGCACAAGGGCTTTRTGGGTTTCCCCTTACGTAGTCATTCCTTCATGGTTCCCACATGGTGACTGTTCGCGGTGGAGGGAGAGAGGCARAAAGACGATTGTAATTGGATTGTGTTGTTGTTGTTTGCTTTGCCGTCATCTGCACACTGCCGATTTTTTGGATACTAGGGTATTGTGATTGCTSGCAGTGGAGGGTGCTGACATGAACAGTACTGCTCTATGACATTCCGGTTTTGGACTATGGTTCTCCGATAGCAGAGAACTTGCTTTGTCTGTCGTCCCTTTCTGCTCTGTTGACGAATGAGAAACGCCATTCCAAACTTTCTTTGCAATTGTGTATCTGTCCCTCTCCCTCACTCTCCCTCTCSCATTAACCTTGCTGAAAAACGTGATTTTGAAACTATGATTTCATTGGGATTTTCACTCCCTCCCTCTCCCATGCCTGCTGTGTCGATATATACAAATTTTCACTCCCTCCCTCTCCCATGCCTACTGTGTCGATATATACAAATTTTCACTCCCTCCCTCTCCCATGCCTGCTGTGTCGATATATACAAATTTTCATTGCAATCGATCACACACACACACACACACACACACACACACACGTGTGTGTCACACGTGTGTGTGTGTGTGTGTGTGTGTGTGTGTGTGTGTGTGTGTGTGTGTGTGTGCGAGAGATAGAGAGAGACTTCTCGAAGAAAGTCTGTAATCATTAAAATGGAATGCACCGGGCACAAGAGCTAAAAAAAAAAAAAAAAAAAAAAAAA